TAATACATAAAACAGAAATATTTAATTTCTTGCGCGGCCCGGTACCAATTGGTCCGTGGACCGGGGGTTGGGGACCAGTGATTTAAATGATTCCACAATGTCACAGCAGGAAGCAGAATTTGAGGAGTTTAACTGTTATGGAATAACCAATCAGAAGCTTTTAAAGTCACGACATCATCACCAGATCTCCGTTTAGACGTCTGGTTCTGATCCATAAGCTGCAGAGCATCAGGAACACGGTGCTTACCTCTGGAAGCGGTCCACCTCTAGGAGAATCCTGGATCATGTTCTCTCTGCTGGGATCGGCTGCTTCCACCTGCAGAAACAGGAAACGGGTCGACCAGGAAGCTGGAGAAAGCAGCTCAGGTTCAGCCAGAACCAAAAGGATTCTGTGTTCAGCAGGTTCTGAACCAGAGAGGAAACAAGACCTGAACTCTACAACCTGTGAACAGGACTGGCTTCAGGAAACTCAAAAAGCCATCGATCAACACCATCCAGATCTACGCTGTTCATCAACAGGAAGCTCCACAAAGTATCTGAAGGTCCAGAACTCAACATTTAGTCTGGATTAACTTCTGACCTAAAACTAAAACTCTGGGACAGGAAATGTCTGTCCAGACCAACGATCAGGCCGGCTGAGAATCCAGTCTTGTGGGATGAAGATAATTTTTCTGTCAAGCAATATCAACATCTATGAAAAGTTCAAGCCTCCTACTGGATAGTCTACACATCTACAGTCCAAAGGTTAGAGGAGAATTTTAGGACCTGGACAACACCCTAAAAGTACTGAAGGCCCGGCTCAGAGGTCCAGAACCACACATTAAGACGGTGGTTCTTCTCCTGGGCCCTCCTATGGATTACAAATCGGGAGAGTTAGACTCTTGCTGTCTAGTTGAACGATGTGTGTGTCCGGTGGGGGGGTTCTTAGAGACTCCCTGTTACACTCAAACACCTCCCCCCCCCAGCGTTCATCGTTTCCTTTGTTTTCCTCCATTCATCCATACCGCTTCCTGCAACCCCCTGCAATGGCACTGCGCCCCCTAGGGTCGCGCCCCACAGTTTGGGAACCTCTGCATTAGGAAATGAACCGTGGGACAAAAACCCCTGAGACCCTGGACCCTGGTAGGACCTGGAGAGACTCGGTAGGGCCTGGACCTGTAGAGCAGAAGGTCTGGACTTACCAGGGGCTTGCGGACTCCCAGGCGGACGGTACCAGGCGGTACCGACTTCAGCACCTCCACTGCCTCAGTCAGGGTGAGAAGGTCCAACAGGGTGTGATTAACCGATACCAGCTGGTCTCCAGGAAGCAGACCTCCATGACGCTCCGCGGACCCACCAGGAACCAGAGAGCGGATCACCATCACACAGCGACCAGGATCCAACGGGTCCTGCAGGGTCAGACATGAGACGGGTTTAATCCCAAGGTGGGATATTTTACCACCCTGAGGAACAGAAACACACCTGAGTGGACCTCAAGTTGGGCTGAAAACGACCCAGCCGTTCAAAAACTTTTCAACTCGTTGAATTAAAAGAGAGCAGAGATTTAGAGACGAGCCGAACACAAGAGCCCGGGTTCTGGAGGAACCCAGTCCGCAGCAGAACGGTTCTGTTTGAACCAGGACAGAGTGTCAGAACGGGGTTGTGAATTAAACCGTCCAGGTGGAACCGAGAGAGGAGACGGTTTAGAGTTCACAGACCAGCAGGTAGGGGGCGACAGAGACCAGAACTCCGATAACAAGGGGGCAGGAAAACCTGTCCGTCTGATCCTCCTGTCCGGAGAAAAGCTTTGCTCCAACTTACATCATGTTCATAAATATTTTTCATATGTTTGTTTCCTGATGGACGCATGGGCTGATGGTGAAAACAGGACGGTCTAGTTAAAGTCCAAACTGAAACATGGAGGGAGTGGCCTTCTATGGTTCTGAATTTCAGCTGGAACAGAACATGTATCCATGGTGACGAGTCACAGTCCAGTGGAACCAGACCAGGACCAAGACAACCACCGGAGGCTATCTCTCTCCTCCAGCAGAGGACGCTTCAGAGTTTCTACTGCAGAAAGGAGCAGAAGAAGAAACGATGGAGAGCACTCCACACCAAAGCAAAGCTCCTTGTTGTCTGGTTCCACCAATCACAGTCCGTCTGGTTCCTAAACTCCTGCTGCGATTCTCAAACCCCGAACCAATGAACACAAACTACTTAGGGGCCCCCGGGTCGGGCCTTTGGGTCGGGTTCTGCTGCGGTTGTGATTTTAATCAGCTGTTCCTGAGGTCTACTCACAAACTGGTTTTGCTCCCAGTCAGCTGCCACACAGCAGGCAGACCTGCAGAGCGTCACATGGCCAGGCTGCTGGTTCCCTGGATCTCCTGGTTGAATCTGTTAAGACGTGTATCAGTCGGAGGTTTTGGACGGTTTTCCCTCACAGTTCGGATTTCTGACTGGAGGTTTTTTAAAACATTTTTATTTAACTTTTTCTTATGCTGGTTTTATGTCTTGAATAGTTTAAGGCTGATTTCACAACACATTGTGATTTCCTGTTTTACTGACTCACATTCAATATCTGCAGCTGCTCTACAGCTTCAGCCTCATTTCACCGCAACACATCCAACCCTCATCCATCCCTCATCCATCCCTCTCGTCTTTTTGAACATTTTCATTCTGGAAATTTCCAGACTTGATTCAGAAGTTTTCTACAGTTCCTCTCCGGATTTTCTCCAAATCTTCTGAGAGCTGCGCTGATTTTGGGACCCAACCCGACCTGCCAGAACCTGCCTCTTCCCCCCAGCAGAATTCAGAAGCCGGTTCAGTGAATCCCTGCAGCGCTGCCGGCGCAGAGCGAGCCGCTGCCGTGCCAAGTTTCAGGCTGGCAGAAGAAAGCGTGGGTATTTTTAGCCGCAGCAAGGCGGCTGCAGGTGGAGAGCGGCGGAGTCAGGGCCGCCTCCTACGGGAAGCTGAGGAGAAACAAAGGAGTCAGGGGAGCGGAGGAAGAAGAGAGGAAGAGGAGAGGAAGCTCCTCCTGAACCTTCAGCCTCCAGAGTTTTACTAAAACTGACAAGTTTAGGAGGAAAGTGAGCGAACAGCAGAGAGGAACCGGATCAGTACTGCATGGATCCACCGTGACCCCACTATGACCCCACCGTGACCCCACCATGACCCTGTAACCCCACCGTGACCCCA